ATGACGATTTGAACCTATGGGTACAGAGTGTAAACGGAATGCTATCACTAATGAAAACAAAAAAAGGTGGAGGTACTATGTTTGGCTGATTGTTTTTTTTTTTGTGAACCGATTTCCAATATTTTTGTTTTGTGTAAAAGGGTATACTCCCGAGATGGTTCCATTTCCATATCAGTCCACTGAGTCGGTGCCATAAGCTCATATCATAATGATATACCTTAATGGCCACAAAATTGTAAACTAGGTATTAAGATTCTAATGAATGATTTTGTATAGAACTTATGGCGCCGACTTCTAATCTATCAGTGGGTGACCTATCAGTACTAATAAAATAATATATACTCTCTCTGTACACAGCAAGCGCAATCTCTCTGTACCTACTCTAGAAATCAAAATGTATGGGGATGACACTGAAAAGTGTAAAAATTTACGTCAATTCCATATAATTTGGTTCTCTATTCTACATGTAGACAAGCGCTAAATGGCATTTGGCTACAGCTGCTGTATACCTAAGGTTAGGTACTATGTTCATTTTTGACAGTAACGTTGCGCGACTGGGTAGATAATAACGTGACTTTTGTGTGCAGGGTTTAGTCATAGCATTTATTTAAATTAATCCTTAATCAGGCACTGTTGAAACGTCAAATATTGAATTGTTCTTCCGTCTGTCTGTGAAGCTAGTCGCTCGTTACAAAGTGTAGTTTAGAATATGGTTTGAGAACCAAATTGAGAACGTAGTTACTGAAAATACATACATGCGTTGATAGCACAATATTTGACAAAAATGTGGCCCGGAGGTTTAAGATGCCTGCTTCTCATGCATCATAAGGGCGCGGCTTCGAAACTTACCAACGGAAAGTACCTATGTGAGTTTTTCCGAGTTATATGTACTTTCCAAGATTATTTAGACACCACTGACACACGGTGAGGGAAAACATCGTGAGGAAACCTGGGCTTATAATTTTTAATTATAAGTTTGAAATCGCCGACCCGCATTGAGCAAGCGTGATGATTAATGCTCGTGCCTTCTCCGTATGAGAGGCTTTGCTCAGCATTGGGCATTTATAGGCTGTTGAAGTGTGTGTGTGTGTGTTTGCGAACATATAGTAATATTAAGTTATACGGTTCAATATCACGCGTCGCTGTAATACAATCATTCTAACACTTTACTACATCTGGAATACAGTCGTGGCAACAGAAAATGTACCTTATGACAATATTTCAACAAAGTTTTGTCATGGTCAAGAAAATGTATGACAAAAGAGTTGCATTTGAAATGCATGCTCGCGATGTGAAGCCATTTTATTTAAAGTTTATGCGACAGACGTGATGAGACGATGGTCTCAGATTGTACTTTCAACACGAATATTATTCTTAGATATTATTGTTTGTTTGAAGTTGTCGAAATTACGTTAACCAGCCGTATGGTGGAAGCAGACTAGAACACCTACATAGAAATAGTAACTAATAATTTATTTACTACCTCGTTGGCCGAGTGGTCGCAAGTGCGACTGCCGGATTCAATATTCGAGTAGGGCAAAGTATTACTGGGTTTTAAAAAAAATCTCAGTAGTAGCACGGAGTCTGGTAATGTGCCCGGTATATGGCAATAGGCTCACCCCTTATTACATGGGACTCAAAACATATATACATTTGACTGCACGGTTGGTGCGGTGGCTGGGCAACCGGCTGCGGTGCAACGTGTCACGGGTTCGATTCCCGCACGGAACAACACTTTTTGTGATCGACAAATTGTTGTTTCGGGTCTGGGTGTCATGTGTATGTGAACTTGTATGTTTGTAAACGCACCCACGACACAGGAGAAAATCCTAGTGTGGGACAACGTTTTATAAAAAAAAAGTGCAAAGTAGGTGTTACTTCTATGTGCACTTCTGTCTACCCCTTCAGAGATAAAAGGCGTAATGTTATTCTATGTTATGTAATTTATTTGCTTTTATAGGCTTCAAAACAGCACTTTATTCTGTTGAATAAAGTGCGGTGTCAGTCGCTCTGCTCGGCACCTATTGATCGTAGCATGATGTTATTAGCTTATAGCCTTAATAAATGGACTATATATACAGCACAAAAGTAATGTTTCAAATCGGACCAGTAGTTCCTGAGATTAGCGCGATCAAACGAACAAACTCTTGAGCTTCTTATAATGGTATACGATTATGAAATTATCTACATGAGGCCAGCCAAAGAACCTAACGGGTAACCGGGGCTCCGGCTCGAAGTGCAGGAGTTGGAACGGGGTGGTTTTTAGTCAGTAAGAGTCTGACACTCCCTCCTGCCTCACCCAGGCGGGAGCAGTCAGTCGATAATTTTCCGCCCGTAAAAAAAAATTTGACCTATGCCCACGGGGAGCGAAGGGGTGGTCACAGGTGAACCGTAACCACACTGCTTCTGGAACCTTATGTCAATCAATTTAATTTTCGTAAATAAACCTATTCTATCTGAAATGCTATTAAATATAGATTATCAGATTATTGTATGTTATTTTATGTGTCGAGAATAAGCCTTTCACAAAAAAACCCCGCGGGTCATGTGCACTAAAACTACTTGTATTTTGGCTATCGATAAACAAGGTTTAGGTAAAGATAAACCTATATACCTATTGTTAAAATAAATATCTAGATTCTAAATCTAAATGTTTTTGTGAAATTAGGCTACAAAAAGAGTTAACTGAAAAAAGGTTGTCGGTATACGAAACTATAAAAGAAAAGTCAAAGAATATTACATCATAACATCACGCCTTTTATCCCCAATGGGGTAGGCAGAGGTGTACATTACGGCACTTCATGCCACTATACAATGTAACACCCACTTTTCGCTATTTACGTTATGAGTTACCATGTAATAATGAGTGCCCCCATTTCCATATACCGGTGCGACTCAGTAAGGGGTTTTGGGTTCGATTCCCAGGTCGGGAGAAGTATTATGCTATGTTTGAGGTTGAAGTCGGTTTTTTAAACGTTATATTTTTAGGGCTTACTTTATGCAGGTAGCAACTTTCTATGCAACATCCAATTATTTTTACTAAGTAAGCAGTGTAGGCAGCCGTCTTCCTTCCCCATAACAACGGTTTTACCTTGAAAATTATCATAATTTCTAGAAAACAGGCAATTTTTCATCTATCACTCGTGTATGCATTCGCGTGACACGAACAGAAGGTCATGTAGACGACGTACATAGCACTTGGCTAGATTTTAGATAATACGTGCGATTTATTTAGAGTATCGTTTTACTGTTGCGATTTATTCGCTTATTTTATGTAGGTAATATTTAGTCAAAGTCAAAGCATTTATATCAATTGATCCTTAATTAGGCACTTTAGAATAGTAAAAATTTTGTTCATCCGTTTCTCTGTCAGTGAAACGTAAGTAACTAAGATCTCTAGACTTGGTAATAATAAAGGTAAAGCTAAGATAGGACTAGCACTATCTGGTCTCAATTAATAGCAAGGTCTGGGAAAATATACGTAGGTACCGTATTTTTACGTAGGTAGTATTAGGTTGCGGTGGTTGGTTTCGAATCCCGGGTCGTGCAAAGTATTGAAGTATTATTGGATGTCCTCGGTTTACAAATATTCTCATCATAACCCATCTAGAATTATGTCCCTACACCGGACAACCGGCAATTTTAATAGGTGCTCCTCTGCCCTTTATCAGAATAAAAAGTAGATATAAGTATCGTACTATAACATAATTATTTCAAATTTACAGCAAAGTTCTAACACAACTAAAATAAATTCCAATAAAGGTTCAACACCAATTTTGAAGCATAACCCACATTATTACATAAAATATTCATAAAACGTATGCAAGCAACAACAAGCTGCTCCGATCTAGTTCAAAAACGTAGCTCATATAATAATTACTCATACCTCGTAAATATTCAGATCAAAAATAACGCTGTTCAAGCAGAATGAGGTACAAAGGCGTGTAGTTTAACAAGAAAATGAAAAGATAATAACAATTTTGAGTTTTATTAGAATTTCTGCGCATATTCAGAGGGAAAATATCGGTAAACCAACATCAACAGCGGACCGGCGATGTTCTTTTGTGGCCTTATTTTCAAACGTATTACTGTTGGAATAAATTTGTAAATATGTTAGTAGTAATTTTTAATGTAAAGTTTTAATGAAGATGAGTTATTGGATCTTTATTATCAATTGGATTGGCTTGTCTGTTGTTTTTTTTATATTGTAAGCCGGTAAACGAGCGGACAGATCACCTGATGGTAAGCATTCGGTGTGGCGTCGCCCATGGCCAGAGGAGTTACAAGTGCCTTACCGGTCTTTTAGGGATTAGGATTTTTTTTTATTATTTTTTTTAAGTGGGGAATATCATCGAATGACTGCTCCCGCCTGGGTGAGGCGGGAGGGAGTGTCAGACTCTTACTGACTAAAAACCACCCCGTTCCTTCTCCTGCACGTCGAGCCGAAGCCCCGGTTACCCGTTAGGTTCTCCGGGACTCCGAATCGGCATCAGCCATATTGGGCCCCATCTGTGGTGGTCTGATGGCTCTTTGAGCGCGAGGATTGTTGGGGATTCAGGATTGGGGAGATGGGGGGGGTGGCAATTGAGTTGAGATGTCATTGTGTGGCTGCTTAATTCTCGTAATACAGACTCTAAGTAAAAATTCACTGTGTACTTAAATTAGGTACTTTCCAAACTCCGTGCATCATATTAGAATTGTTGGAAACTTTATTATTACCTAGTAATAAAAAACAATAGTCCCCTACTCTATCTGAGAATTAAATACATGCGTAATGCTCAATAGCTGCACATACCAATGAACTAATTGTGTTGGTCGCACTACAAAATTCTGTGTTTATTAAACAACAAAGGATAATTTAAATTATTGCGATTTATTTTATCTTTAGTCGTGTCGGCAGCATCCCGGCTTTAGTTCGGATAAGGTTTGATGGACAGTATCTGAGTTCTGTATCTTACTGTATCGGGTATTGTTATCACTGCTTCTGATATGGTCTCGATAAAATTGAAGGGTTTACCGTTTTTATCTTACTTTTGTTACGGATCGCCACGGTAACGAGACAGTGCGGTCAAAATGAACAGTAAGTACCTACATATTTTAATGGATTTCTTGTGAAGTTTCTTTAATTTGAATATTGATTGGTTTAGTTATTTTGTGAATGGTTAACTTATGTGATAATTAAATTACTCTTTGTAACTAACTGTATGTAGAATAGAAACTTATGAGCCGCCTTAAGTTTTGGATTGTTACGTAATATTTTTTAAAGAGCTATGGCATGCATGAAACTCTTGCATTCAATTTTTTAAAAGAAAATGTATAAAGATGCCTGGCTTTTGTGAATTCCTATTTCAATAGGGTGGTATAATCGATGGGGTGCCATATTGGCTTGTATTTTCGTAATTTTTTTAATAATTTAAATCATTGTTTTAACTTACTAGGTACCTACATAATATTTATTTGTCCATCACTTAAATGCAGTGGATTCTGTCTTACAGATTAGGAGTTTTGTCATAACTGTGATTACAGAAATTAGCTCCTGTTATGTTGCTTTTCGGGGCGTAGGTACCTACTTCATAATATGTAGAAACCTTAACCTAGGGTTTCTTTGTGCCTTAGTTAGTTTGTCAAGGGATAACAACATAAGACAAACTATATTATACTATATTAAGAATAAATATCCCTCTAATATTATACATCTGAAAGTTTCTTCCTTTCGATGTTTGGAGGTTTCCCGTTAATCATGTTGAAACTACTGAACGGATTTGGTATACAGGCAGAGTCAGGGTTAACTTAGGTGATAGGATACTTTCATCCCAAATAAATGCTCCCATGGCGAAAAAACAGGAATAAAATAAAGCTAGTACCTAATTAAATGTATAAGTACAATATACTTATCAAGTGTTATAAGATAGAAGATCATGCAAATAAGAAAGTTATGGGAGAAAGGGTAGCAATGGAACTGCCTTTGAAATGTTACGTAGGAATATGAGAAGGATATGGTTAGGTATTGATAAAACGATAAGGGCTTCAAAACAATAGTCCTTATCATAAGCAAATTTAGTAGTTCAACATATTTTAGGTATTCTAAGGTATTTTTCTGAATATTTCAAAATCGAAATAAGTTTCGTTAGTTTTGAAACAATGTAAATTATGTTAAATATTGACGTAATTATTACTACGCAGCGCGATGTTTGTGTTTCCTTAATTTTGGCTACGATACTAAGTTAAATTACCTACTTACAATTATATTAGAAAGCTTTGACTTTTCATTAAATTAAAATCTCAAGCTTGCGCAAAACTAGTTATTCCTACTTAAATTGGAAGAAACCCGAAATGTTTTATACCTCTAGAACTCCATCGCATATTACAATAGATCCTCGTTTTTTACGTACGTATAGGTACTTAGTATCTACTAAGTACTTATATGTATAAGTACGATAGTATTAATCTAGCACTAGCTGATCATTGGGTACTAATTTATTACCCGAAAAAATAGACACCATTATCCCTATAACAAATATTTTTAAGAAACAAACCAAATATTTTCCAAAATTACTCTTTTTTCATACTAAATAAGGTCCTATTACTTCCCCAGCAGCCATCTGGCTTCTATGCTGCGCGGCGGCCGTGGCCAGCTGCTCCGGACTCTCAATCCCATTGAGACAAAATCCGGAGACACTGTGCCGTGGTCAAGAGAACTTCTTGAGGATCGCCTGCATCGAAAGCTGCTTCCAGTACTATCAGTGTTATTCCGGCAACTCCTACCTGATGCTATGTCCACCAGGAACTTGGTTCAATGAACCAGAACAGGTGAGGGTCGTTCACAATCAGTTTGTGTTTGTTTTATTTAGAAAGTGTTGCGTATTTTAGTAAGTTATTATATCCATACTTAAATTGTTGTCAAAATTGCAACCAAATGTTTGTTGTTATCTCATAGAACCTTTATCTCAACATTTAGACAGTAGTTTGACATATCGCACTGTCATATGTCAATATTTTGATAAACATACTTCTGGGCATCACGCGAAAGATAAACGATCTTGATGTTACAAATTCTACGAAAATTCTAGATTAAATTTGAAATTTATCTTATGAATAGTAAGATGTAGGTACCTAAAATACATTTGCGTAAGACGACCATTACTGACGTAGAATGTACGCGCATAACTCCTAAACGACTGTTAGAACATGAAAAAAAAAAGGTAATTTCATAGGCAAAATTGGGGACAAAATATTATCAAATTGTATTTCTGAGAAATATAAGAACATGTTTTGACTAAAATATTTATTAATTTATTCCAGGTATGTGACTGGTCACCTGCACCAGGGCACTGCGTCGAACCAGAACCTGAGCCAGAACCAGAACCCGAACCCGAGCCGGAACCTGAGCCAGAACCTGAACCCGAACCTGAACCAGAGCCAGAACCTGAACCCGAGCCAGAGCCAGAACAAGATCCGGAACAAGAAGTCGCACCCTTCCAGGCTGAAGGCTCCGGCGAAGAATGGCAAGACGATGCGGTCAAAAACTACTTGAAAGCTTTCAAAACTGTGAAACAAGAAGAAGTTGTTGTCGAAGATGGTATCATTGAAGGTGATGATGAATTCGATGGCGAGTATCTTAAAGCCCAAGAAGAAAACCTTGATGAACAAGAAGATTTACTCGAGAAAGCTAAGAAACTGATGAGGCAAGAAGAAATCGAGGAGGAATCAGAAGCTGAGCTAGCCATGAAACGTCAGGTAGAAGAAAAATCTAATGATGACGACGAAGAACTCATGAAGCGTCAAGAAGAAGAAGTATCCGATGATGATGTAGAAGAAGCCAAGAAACGCCAGGAGGAAGAAGTCGAGGATGAAGTAGAAGAACTTAAAATGCGTCAAGAAGAAGAAGAAGTTGTGGATGAAGAAGAAGTTATGCAGCGTCAAGAAGAAGCTGAAGATGAAATAGAAGAGGCCAAAAAACGCCAAGAAGAAGAATCTGAAGATGAAGTAGACGAAGTCAAAAAACGTCAAGAAGAAGAAGTTGAGGATCAAGTAGAAGAAGCCAAAAAGCGTCAGGAAGAAGAAATTGATGATGAAGTAGAAGAAATCAAGAAACGTCAAGACGAAGAAGCTGCGGATGAAGTAGAAGAAGTTAAAAAACGCCAAGAAGAAGAAGAAGAGGCATCCGAAGATAATGCAGAAGAAACCAGGAAGCGTCAAGAAGAAGACTCTGAAGATGATGTTGAAGAAGCCAAAAAACGTCAGGAAGAAGGAGAAATTGATGATGATGTAGAAGAGGTCAAGAAACGTCAAGAAGAAGAGGATGAAGCTGAGGATGAAATAGAAGAAGCCAAGAAACGCCAAGATGAAGAAGATGAATCCGACGTTGATGTAGAAGAAGTTAAGAAACGGCAAGAAGAAGAGTCTGATGATGAAGTAGAAGAAGCCAAAAAACGTCAGGAAGAAGGAGAAATTGATGATGATGTAGAAGAGGTCAAGAAACGTCAAGAAGAAGAGGATGAAGCTGAGGATGAAATAGAAGAAGCCAAGAAACGCCAAGATGAAGAAGATGAATCCGACGTTGATGTAGAAGAAGTTAAGAAACGGCAAGAAGAAGAGTCTGATGATGAAGTAGAAGAAGCCAAAAAACGCCAAGAAGAGGTAGCAATTGATGATGATGATGTAGAAGAAGTCAAAAAACGCCAAGAAGAAGAACAAGCTGAAGATGAAATAGAAGAAGCCAAGAAACGCCAGGAAGAGCTTGAAGACGCCGAGGAATCTGTAGATGAAGTAAAACGTGTGAAACGTCAAGCAGAATTCGAGGACGACGATAATGTAGAGGAAGTCAAGAAACGCCAGGAAGATGGTGAAGATAATGATGATGAAGTCAACGAGAACGCTGAAGAAGAAGAATCTAAGAGGAGTCAAGAAGAAGAAGGTGACAATGAAATCGAACAGGAACCTGAAGAAGTAGATGATGATGAAGAATCTAAGAGAAGCCAGGAAGAAGACGATTCCGGAAATGACAATGACGATAATGATGCCGGTAATGACAATGACGACAGTAATGAATCAGAAGATGATGCAGATGTAGACTCAGAAGCCGATTTCAAGCGCAGAGTAAAGAAGTTCTTCAAACACGTGTTCAGAATTTTAAACTAGAAGAGACTTCGGTAGCATTGTAAAATGTTTTCTAGAAGTAACTTTGAAATTAACTTAGAAAGTAATTAGTTTTAATTTATTTAAGTTGTAAACATCACTTTGTGCAATTTTGTAAATATTAGCGTGGTTATTAAATTATTTATTGAACATTTAATTATTTTATTTACTATTCAATACTTTATTGAAGATTCTAGTTTTGTTTACTACTCATGTACTTTTCAAAAAGAAAAATCGGTATTGGGTTTGTGTTTGAGACTGTATAAATGGGCTCAATCCTGCCCAAGGTCACTCCCACCCTGACCTAATAAAAAATATTATCTTTCTAATAAGAAAACTAATTTTTAGGGGGACCTAAAGGGGTTGAAAAACATGTTATTTTTTGGCTAGAACCTCTAGTTTTTGAAATATTGAAGGATTTGTCAGAAGCTAGCATCAGGCCAGTCCCAAGCGATTATTGTTGACACAGTCAGTCATATAGTATGAAAATTCGGTATTAGGTTTCGCCAACCTTTATGTTTGGGGCTATACAAGTGGGCCCAACCCTGCCCAAGGTCACTTCCACTTCTGTACTTCAAGCAGATGACTCATTTTAAGTGCTGGTGTGTGTACGTAGGCTGCTGCGATAATTAGTTACTTTTTCGCTAGGACAAGACTTAAAGGTATTTTTGTCTGTACTATAGCTAAATTTTTTCATAATATTCTTCAATTATTACCTTCTATTTTGACGACATTAAGAAACTAAAGGGTTCTTCAAATGAAATGCAGATGATAAATAAAAAAAGTTCCAAAATCAATTTAAGAATTTATTACATCATTTATTATACAGTACAAAATAATCCTCAAGTACAATAATTATTTAGGTATAAGTAACACAACCAAAGCAAAATATTAAAAATTGGATTTGAGATGTTCATGTCACCGTAGGCCTTCGATAAAAGTGGCCGTAAATGCATTTAGGACATAAAATAAGTTTACAATAGTGGTATTTCGTTAACTAATAAAGTATGACTGTAGAGTTATTCTACTCATTGGCAGTAATTTTTACAGTACTGGCAATTTCTCCTTCGCGAACCAGATAGTCGTCGTACGACGTTCACACTTGGCAATAAGCTAGAATATAAAAAATAAACTTCTAAAATTGTACACAACATACCAACAGCTTCAAAAATAAATTACAAACAGTGCGAGGACGTGAGCCCCGCTGTACGAGCCCGGCGCGAGCTGGCACCGCCGCCAGCAACACTAACATTGGTAGTCACACTGCGAGTCTGGCAGGCGCGGGGCCGCGCTATTCGGAACACCGTAAGATTACATAATTATTAAAAGTTTATCATGGTCCACCGAACGCACAGTATAAAAAGATGCAATGAGTAGATAAGATATGTGATGTGTTAAAATATACATAATAGTTGCTCTGTGCCATTGGAATTACTTACTAACAATTTCAACAACAGTCTGCTACGAATTTAATTTAGCACACGATTAGCGCAAATGAACAATATCACAAGTTTACGATCAGTACTCAATTCCAAACGCCACAGAGCTATATAAGCCTACTCCTAAAGCGAATACAATAGTAGTAAAGTACTTGTGTAAATCTAGCGGTTTATAACAAATAACCTTTACTTGACCAGACATTTGCTAAACGTTCCGCGCGGACGCAGCCGGGCGGCGCGCCCTATATATAAATGTTACGTGATATTATTAGCAAAATTACTCTCTCCGGCGCGACGCACCGCCCGGTCGCATCTTACAATCGAATTTTAAAATATCACCAGTATTCTCTTAGTCAGCCCGCCACATCCGCACCTACATAGTTACACAAAAATATATCTATAAAACTACAAAATATTACATCAAAATTAAATACATAGTTAAAACATTGATAATAATAAATGAGAAAAATGATAGTTAAGAAATAAATAATCAAATAAAACGACTATATACAAACATGAGGCGCGGGTGCGGTTGTGACGATCGTGTCAACTCCAACTTTAAACAATTCCAAGTTCCAAATCCTTCAGATCAACTACTTGCCTAAGTCTACGGCGGTTACATGAAAATATCACGAGCGCGAATACATCGTTAGGTAGTACATACCGTTAGTACAAACGTTACTATAGAATATAAGCGTGCTCTTAACATTAATTGTATCAAATCCTTTGACGACATTGTTCAGTAAAAAAGTACGAAAGAGCTGCGATTGTACAAAATGTGTATATAATGTAGACGACGAGCGCGTCAGAACAGGCCGACGTCCTTCTTCATGTTGGTCTGTTTCCACGCGGGGAGCACCGAGAACTCTTCTTTGGTCATGCCGAAAGCCTCCTGCACGAGAACAAAAAATACTTCATTAATATTACATTAGTTTTCCCAACAAAATCTGTGTTTAAGATAATATGAATGTGTTTTTATAAACAAATACCTTATGGAATGGTGGCTGAAATCAATCTAAATGTTTATTTATGACAAATAGAAACATGGTAGTTTGAAATTTACACAATATTAATATGATTTGTGTCAAATATTTACATGAATGCCGTCACCAGAATATCCCATATCCGTGCAAGCAATTTATAGTGCATTGTATTTTTGTACATGTAATAATATCAATCTATCAAAAAACCTATATAAGTAAAAAATAATTTCCGTTCGTTAGTCTCGTTTTGATTAGAATTGGCAAATTTTGATTTTGAATTATTCGTGGAATTCCAGGGAAGGTTGAAGGTGAGAAAAAATGTTTGTTGCTGTACGACGCCGGGTCAGCTAGTTCGTAACATTTTTTGATGAAACTTAAATTTCAATAGCCTCATTCTTTAAACTATACTTTTAAACGGCTTAATTTAGAATGGTAACTGGAAAATGGGTGTTTTGTCTTATAGCATACACTCGGGCACTACGTTTGCAAGATTCTTTACTTCCCTTTAAGAAATAAACTTATTTCTAAAATTATTGTTCTCTGTGAGACGGGTAAAAGCAAAATTTGTGTTTATAACACACGACACAGGAGTAAACCAAGACATAGAAATTCTAATCAGTCATTATAGACACAATTAAAGAACAATATGTTGCGGTCAACGGGGTCCTCGCGGTGTTTGACAGTTTAATACCTACAGTGGCAACTGAAGGGTACGTACCAGGAAGTCAGGCGAGGAGAGATGTCGCTCGAGATGGTGCGGGTCGACGTGGTCGGGCAGGGGCCGGCGCTGCAGCGCGGCCAGCGGCAGCTCGGCGGCCGCGCGCGTCAGCCGCGCCAGCTCGCGCGCGCCGCACCACGCCTCGCCCGCCTTGTGGCCCAGCTGGAACATCGTGCGGGGCATTCACAGTGCGGGCAAGCAGTGCTTGGACGAACCCTCAAACCATACCCTAACCAATTGTCGTGGAGAACCTAAAGGGTAACCGGGGCTCCGGCTCGACGTGCAGGAGAAGGAACAGGGTGGTTTTTAGTCAGTAAGAGTCTGACACTCCCTCCCGGCAGGCGGGAGCAGCCATTCGATGATTTTCCCCCCTTAAAAAAAACTCTAACCAATTGGGTACTGGCCAACAAGTCAAACTCAATACTTTTTTCGAACTGTCAAAAACGACAGTTTTCTATGAATTTTGTACGAGATTGTGTATTGTAACGTCGCGTTTTTTTAGCGTCATACAGCATAACTATTTCTTAAAAATTTGCTGAAATAATACTAAAACTCAGTTGACCATAAAATCAATTAATGAACGTGTGATTTTTTTCAGTCGAAATAATTTATTTTTGATTAAGGAAAGTAAGTACCCAGTTTATAGTTCATCTTATCGATGGCCAGTTTCACACACTCTGTACAGCTATTATTTACCAAATAAATACGTAATTTGTTCGTGTAATCTGTTGCGAAAAAGGCCCTAAGAATTTTGCATTGTATCCAATTTTATCTGTACACCATAACCTTGGTAAGCGATCACGTATCAAGATCATGTCCGATCTTGTTTGAAAATGTATGTTTCCATTGAGCCCCATCTCATTATAGCATTGGCATTATTAAAGCGAACCGAAGAACAACCTTTTCGCGAATGTGCTTTAGAGTGCAGAATGGTAAAGTTTTCTTTTAAGCTTAGTAATAAAAAGGTACTTACGTTGATATTGGCTTCGGCTGCCTCGTCGTGATCAACCCAGGTATCGAACAGGTCGGTGAAGGCCTGTGGTTCAAGGCCGGCAGCTACTAGACGTACGTCGGGTCGAGTCTCGGGTCGTGACACGCGCCAGTATGCATCACAAGTACGTAGGGCTGCTACTCGTAAAGCTTGCCAACGGGCTGCGAATGCTCCAACACCTGGAAAAAATGAGAGTAAAGATGAACAAACATTTGTCAAAGGCATTGAAAAGGACATTATGTGTTTTGGAAAGTTTAATGACATGTTTTAGAAGATATCTTTACGCTACTTTGAATTTTGTCAGTGTAAAACCCACTTTGATATGTGGGAAATGAAGTCTCGAGTTGTTTTCAATCACAGTTTGAAATGGTCAATTAAAAGTAATGTACAGTATCTCACCCGCGTTCCTCTCAGCGGGCTCCAGCTCGCCGTCCTCCCCGCGCGGCCACCAGCCCTGCCACAGCCACACACACGCTCCGTCGTCCAGCAGGAACAGAGCTGGACACAGACAAACCAGTTGTAAACCACCGCGCTATGTTAGTGCTAATCTAATTATCGCATAAACATGTAAGGAAGGTGTTTCTCACCTGGTTGCGAAGCCGAGTACAACTCTTTTTGGTCAAAAGGGAAGGGTGTCACCAGGTGCTCGTGGCGGAGCGGAGACAACACCTCGTTGGCTTCGAACTGTCCTCCCAGGTCGGTGAAGTGGAACAGGCGAGGGGAACTACCCCCCACCTCGCGGCCCCCGCCCAGCACTGACATGTAATGTTGCTTGTTCGCTACGCCCAGAGCTTCTAGAACTTCCTTCGGCTCCTCACCCTCTCGAACCTCTGTGATCTTTACATCAGACACGTTCTCCCCGAATAAGTAGCTCGACTTCCTCGCTATGAGCTTGTTAGCCAGCTCGATTGCAATGTCTTTAGTATGCTTCATGCTCCTTGCTCCGTGCCAGATGTATAGGCATCCCTTCTCGGTATCGACCAAGAGTAGTGAGCCCCGACTACGAAGTTGTCGCACTGAACAAGGCACCTGCAGTAAGTACGCCTCGTTGGACAGATTGCCTCGCGTCACGAACAGTCTGTACCGGCTCTTGTCGGAGTCCCTCTTGCCTTGGTGGATGACTAGATTCCCTTGGAACTGGTTGAGGAAGGCAGGCGGCTCGTTCCCTTGTGCGACGCGGACCTGCGGCCCCTTCTCCCGGTCGAGCTCGACAGTGAGTAATGCGGCGGCTCCCTTCTCGTTCGAGCTGGCGTCCCGTCCCTGCCAGCAGAAGTACGCGCACCGATCTCTTCCCGTAACGTTATGTTTAGACGGTTTCCCGTTCAGCTCGCGACCGGTCATCGTGATCTGGTACTCCCATCTAATAATATAACTGTCGGCAGAGAAGAACTCACCGATCTCGGATTCGTCCTCAACTTTTTGGAAATCGTACTCCTGTATCACCCACTTGCTTACGGACTTGGTCTTAATGTCGTAGTGCCTCATGTTCTCCTTGTCGTAGTAGTGCGTGCCGCGGCCGATGTGAGATCCTTCTAAAATGAGATCTGGATCCTGGTACTCGTTCGACCACATCTCCTCGGCATCGCAGGGGTTGATTTCAACGCTGTTACTCTTGTTTTCTGGTGACTTGACCTTGATGACTCTGGTGTAGTCGGGCCAGTCGAGGAATTTCTCCTTGAACAGAATGGTTTCCATGTGCTGTGTGATTTTGGATAGGATGGCCCATTCAGGTCGGCTGTTGGCGGACTTGGCGGGAGGATCGGTGGCCTCTCGCGCGCCCTGGTACTTGGCAGCGTTCAAGGGGTTGATGTGACACTCCTCGTAGTTGTATCCTTCGTCAAACATTTCCTGCGCTAGTTGTGCCGCGCGGCGTCGACTCTCGAGGGGAACATTCTTCCCGTACCAGATGTACATTTCGGATCCGAAGTCAAACACGATCACTTTGGTTTGGTTGAGCATGGCGATCTTGGGAACTTGTCCCCAGTACTCCTGGATGGGCACGAGCTCGTCGTCCATGACCTCGTAGCACATGTTGGTCTGCAGGATGCAGGACTCGAAGATCTCGTCTTCATCAGCGTGCCCTGTCTCCACTGGCTTGTAGTTCTCAACGTTTTCGGTAACGCCAAGAAGAGACCAGAACTGGTTCCAATGTTTGTGGCTGAAGTTTTTGATTTGTTCGTCTATTTTGATGATACCGGGGGAGTTCTTGCAGCCCATGTCTTTTGTGTTTTGGATGTGCATGGCAATGTCTGTGCTGCGATTTCTGAAAGAAAACATAATAAATATGTTAAATGATATAAAGTAAGCAGTCTCTGTTATCTAAGCAGTTGTTTCTGTAGACTTTTTAATGTTGTAGTCTTTATTATAAATTCTTGTTCTGAGCTACTTACTTCTCAATGACGTTGGCGTAGAGTCCGATGTAGAGGAACAGTTGGTCTGACGAGATCAGCACGAAGCAGTCTCCGCGGTTGACGCTCGTGTGGACCGGCTCCACTAATCTCGTCTGCAAAAGAAAACCATATATAAGAAAACTTACCAAATTACGTAAGGTTTACGTATCTTTAAGGTTTAATACATAATTTTTCGAAAGAAATACTAATTTTTTTATTGGAATTGAGAAGACAAGGTAATCATAAGCTTTGGTCTTGGTATATGAAGAGTTTAAAACATTAATTAAAACAATAATAAATAATGATTCATACAAATAGCATCACAATTTATCGACTGATAACAAGTCAACGATAATTTACATTTAGGTTTCATCATCAACAGTTCCTGTCAAATGTGTACTTATCAGGAAAAAGAAAGGTAAGTCCGAATAAGCAACCGAATGTTAAATAATGTTTTTTTATTGGTAATAAATAGACTTTTGGGCGCTATCTCTTCAGAAGTAGGCGGAAATGTGGCCTACGACGAATTTGTATTCTATTGTACCATTTCATGTTTAATGCCCGAATACTCAAACGACACTCAATTTAAGTTGCGCTTAAGTATAGTTCTGTGCCTACAAATTCTTTGTAAAATAACAGAGATAGCACCATATTTAAGTAAACCTAAAATTAAGTAGTCTTTTAGTATTTGGGTGTAAGCTACAAGAGTAAAATGTATACCTGCACCCTCCTCCTCCCCTTGACGTGCAGCAACATGAGCGGCCTGGCGCCGGGCGCGGCGGGCGCGGCGGCCGCGCTGCGCAGTGCGACCGCCGCGAAGTCTTCCTTGCTGGCCAGCGCCGCCAGCGCTTCCGCTGCTAACCCGCCGTTACTGGCCACTGGGGAACAAAGATATATGTTATTTAGACATACAATATCATAAAACTGTTTTTCTAAGTTATAGGTTGAAGTTTCTTATAACAATTTGAGGTTTTAACACTATTCTGTCTGAAGACGAAATTCGCCTTAACAGTATCTTTACAGTGAACTGTTGAGCAAAGTCAAAAACAGTGGTTACAAAGGTTGGTCTAAAGGTTGTGTTCAAGCACTGCTCCACCATGTTAGGCATACGATAGTTTGTAACAAAGCCCTGTTATAGAAGAATACGTCTTTGAAGACATGCACAAGTAAATAGAAAAGTTCATGGACTGGCTGTATGTCAAAATTATTCATTATCGATAAAACAGAATATATCAGTTTATGTCAATCGTACACATCGGCTTTCCTATTAATATCGTAAATCATTTTCTTAAAATTTCCCAACTTTACTAAATAATTCACTTACTATTATAAATTCCCATATGCACTACTTTTATATAACACTAAACTCAGTACACTACACAACAATTCAAGATCCTGATGAACAATGAATCATTTTGTTTGAAAACACTAAATATATACAAATACAAATCCGTTTACGTATTGCCGAGTGTTGACAAGAAGCCGTACAAACACTAATTATAGATAACATGAAATTATTCATAATATCGTACGATAGGGACATATTATAATTTGTTATCTAGATAAAATCAGATGCCTTACATTAAGACATCAGGAACGAATACATTTTCAGCATTATCACATTGTAATTAAGTACATTATTTATTAAAGAAATTGTTGTTAATTTTATATCTTAGCGCCTTGCATTTTTGTTTATCTTTTCCTTTTAATTATATCATGTTTAGTTTCACCTCCCTTCGACATATGTATAAAAGGCGTATTATGTTGCATCATTGTTATACTCATGATTTTAAATTTTTATTTACTTCACTATATAATGTTTTAGGCGTTAATAATGCCAACACCCCGTGTCAGTCTATGAACTATGACTTCCTCTACGAATGGCTACTCCGAAGGACTTGCCATAATTTCCACACTTCGCAGACGGGTCGGAGACCGACAGGTTCCTGTCAAATATGTAATCCTAGTCGGTTTTTGCAGTACAGATGGGGCCAATTAGAGCTATACCGATACGGAGCCTATTGGGCCCCAGTAGACGTAACGTTGAGCGGAGGACGTAACGTAAAAAAAATAAAATTTAAAAGCATGATTTATTATATTTAGGTTTTACATTTATGACTTTTCATACCATAATAATATTATTTTTAAACGCCTTTAAAAAAATGTATGATGATGCGGAATTATCTCCCGATTGGCTGAACCGATATTGAAGCGGTTTCCTGAAAAGTGTTTGTTACACTTGGGAGAAAAAAAATGTTTTATATTAATTAACTGATTTCAAAAACAGAGGGAGTTGAAGTCGGTTTTTTAAACGTAGTTTATGAAGGAATTATTGTGCATAACTTACATTTCTCGATGACATAGTTCTGTTTGAGCGTGGGCGGTGGTGGAACGTATTCGTCCCGCAGGTCAGTGCGCGCTGCGAGGGCGCGGAGCGGGTTGCGGGACGCAGCGTGCCGCCGACCCACGCGGGCGCGACGGGACCATTCACTTGCCAGTCTGAGAGAGGAAAAATGGATTATAGATGTGAATTTATTGAACATTATAGCTAAGTTTTGTGTAGGAATCCAATCACCATCTCAAGATCTCTTTCAAGAGATCTTGTCATAAGCAAAAATTGATTAAATGACACGAAAAACCGAAGATCTATTGAAAAAAGATATAGTTTTGACAAGCCTTTAAACTTCTAACTAGTATTTTAGAAATACTTACCACAGGTATTTTCTAAATCGGCTATTCGTAAAGTGATAAGAATAACCATTGAAAAAGGAATAATTTAAGGATTTTTTTTATCAGGCCTATCTAAACCAGTTATTCAAGACTCACACATTGACAAATAACCTTTCACAAATCTACAAAATAAACATCGACATTTGATGAACTTACAATTGCCTAGACCCGCTGTCAATGGCGTCGAGGTCGACATCAACACCCTCGGTGTCTGCCAGCCTCTCCTGCTGCAAGGCGGGCGTGAAGAACGCTTGAAACGTCTCATCATCGGTACGGGGTACACGCACCGGCTGGCCTGTCTTCTCAGCACCACAGGACTCATCTTCTGGAAAAAGAAAATAAGTATGTAAATTACATAAAGAATAGAATCAAAGTCAAAGCATTTATTTCAATTAAACCATAGTTTGGTAGTTTTGAAATGTCAACAAATACAAAATAAATAATAGTCTGTCAGTCAGTCCGTCAGTGAAACTAGGTGCTCATTCCAAAATGTACATTCGAATGGAGAAGAACGAGCAAGAAACTCCATTCGTTACTCTTTTTAAAAAAGTATGTTCTACAATGTCTGAATGAATAGAATATACAAGAATTCATAAATAATAGGTATGTATATTTCTGCTGGAAGTCATTTCAGCGTGAGTCCTATGTTTAGCAATGGGTGCTTTGTAGCCAATATAATGAAGATGAGGTATTTATAAAGGCTTTTTGCACGTTAGATTCCCGAATTAGGAAAGACACAAATTTCAGAAAATATGACAAAAAATATACCTGGCCAAGTGTGAAATGCTGTCAACGTCAGACTGAAATGTTGTCAAAGATAGATTTTTTGAAAGGGAAAGACACTGTTTTATTGACTGAGCAGTTGGTATGGAGCTTCAGTTCTAAGCAAGAGAGACGTGTCTCACGGCCCGGGTCTTTCTTTTATTTTTAAATAAAGTAATATGGCTTTGTGTCCGATGTATACCAACAGGTTTCCACACGGAGCTGATAATGTATAGTCACGCATCATTGCATTCTGTCCATTATCTTGCATTCACCAAAAACACTTTACCCGATTTGGTGTTATCATTGGCGAATTATGGTGTGATCAAGGAAAATAGTGATTCATTCTCATAGATAGCGATAATATAGATATCTTTTAAGTGCCAATTACAGTCATATATGACTAAACAAGCATTTCCAAACGATAATATAAGTAATGAATTTATCAGACACAAGTATTCATTTAAAAGAAATTGATAATAATATTTATATACAACAAGCCTACTGAAAGGTACAGAAAGGTGAATTGAAAGATGGTGTAGTGACAAGGATTGAAAAGGGAATGTTACGCTAGTTTGGACATGTAGAAAGGATGGATGAAAGTAGAGTAATGGAAGAAGTATACAGAGCGGACATGAATGGGGCTGTCGGTAGAGGGCGCCCTAGACGGAAATACATATACTGACCAGATTGGTGATATATTAAAAAAGAGCCACCGACGAGCATGCATGAAAAGATTGATGAAGCGAAAGAGGTTTGTACGAATCGTAGCAATTGGCGTTCCATAAATCTCTGCCTACCCCCATGGGAGACAGGCGTGAAGTTATGTATGTATGTACAAGCGTACTGATAAATAAAGTAAATGTAAATAAACATGATACCTATAATTTTATAATTAATTACTGTACTTCTGCAATTGACCTAACACAGTGTTTACATAATTCTGGATAACATTTATGACCTGAGTTGTGACTGCAAGTTAATAAAACTTTATGCATAATATGTTATTTACGTTTAACGAAGTCAAAATTATTTCCTAGTGGGAGGTTTTTACTCATTCAAGGCTGTATGGTAATTGAAGTCTTAAAATTAAAAAAGTATTAGCTTTCCTTCTGTTAAAAGCTTCTAGTTAAATTCTTATGAATTAGGTACACTTTTTCTTCAATCACTCTAACTAATGAGAAAATTACATGAGAATGTGTTCAGCAGTTTTGGCGTTCATTGCAAACAGACACTAGTCAGGTCATCTTTCAATTACCTATGTAAAGATTTTCTGCCACTATTTTTACTAATGCTGGCTGCCGGGCAAGGCGTCTCGGGTTCGATTACCGGGTCAGGCAAAGTGAACTGTGTTTTTTAGAAAAAATCTCAGTAGTGGCACGAAGTCTGGAATTGTGCCCGGTATATTGCAATAGGCTCACTCCTATTACATGGGACTCGTAACATAAATAGTGAAAAGTGGGTGTTACATTGTGCAGTGGCATTAAATGCCCTAATGTGCACCTCTGTCTACCCCTTCGGGAAAAAAAGGCGTGATGTTATCTTATTTTTTAATTAAACTAAGAAATAAAACAATACTCACTCTCATCAACCCTGCTGATACTCTCACTGACAGAGTGGCTTCGTTTGAAGGATTCTCTATCAATTCTATTGGTCTTGGGCTTCGGGTCGACAGCAGCCGCGCTCACGACGGCACACGAAGCTGACCGAAGTGGACCCGAAGCGAATCCATTCGTAGGAGACGTTTGCTTACGAGATCTGCGAAGATAGAGTTACAAATTGTAATACGATAATTATGTATAAACATATTATTACATGTTATTGAATTGCATGTCTCGTTGTGTGTAAACATACTTAGTTATGTTTATGTATGATTTAAGGCCTGCTCGTAATTATTTGTTTGTCAAAACATTCCTCATTTCGTAGGTACTTGTTGGTATGAAATGAACAAAGACTAACCGCTAGTATTACACATCTAGGTAGAGGATTTTTTAATGAAACTTCCATTATAAGTTGCACCTCTGTTGAGTCAGATGTGATTCACTATCTCACAAACGGTTGCTAAACAAAAAGCAAGGCTTTCTTCACAAAGCTTGTGAAAATGTTTTACACTGAATCTTTATTTATTTAGTCTTTAATGTACACAATTTGATTATGGCACATAAGGCGAGCTTAATGCCATATGGCATTCTCTACCAGTCAACCTTAGGGTTTAAGTAGAAAATCTGCGAAAAATAAGGTACGGAGAATAAACTAACAGCAAAGAGAGAGAGAGGAAAAAATAATAATCTTTACGTTTGTATATTTATGAAATAGTCAAAATTGTAATACTTTGGAGAAGCTTCGAGTGCTGAAGTGTGTATCGGAAGGACTTGAATGTTTTCATACTCTTTAGGGAAACAAAATGCCTGCCTATCAGAACATAAAATACACAGTCCCAGACAATAAGATAGACTTTAAATAACAACAAATGTTCAACAAATTGCACGTTTTTATAGCAAATGTGTAAGTTAACTTACTTAAAAGTATTAGGTGGTGGTATTCCCGGCGAGGCGGTCACAGGCGCGGCTGCGGGAGGCGGAGTGACGGGTGGAGTCGCTGACACTACCTTGTCCCTCTCTAATCTACCAGCTACGGTGAACAGAGAGGCATCGGTCTGAGGAACGCGTTTGCGCCAGCCCTGAAACAAGACACACGAAGGTGGTTAATGATTTAGTCAATTGCTCCAGAAAGACGGTCGTGATATTCGGTATTCTAATATATGTTTGGAATTTGTAGTTTTGGTTTATTCACGTTCGGTTGGCCAATGTCCAGATTATCTTAAATTGGATGAAAAGTATGTAGGTATAGCTTGAAAGATCTTAACGTATGAAGTATCGTTAGATTTGTCGTTGAAGACAGATGCGGTAATTAGGATCCGATCTGTGTATCTGTACGTAGTGAAAATGCATGCTTACCTATTTTTTTAAACAACATTATGTTTGCAATACCAGACATTTCAATGACGTGTTACAATATGATGAATAATTTTGCACAAAATAACAGTAAAATACACGCGCATCATTGTTCGAGGAAAGTCCTAATGAATGTATGCAACCTTTTGCCAAAACAACGTCTTATTTTACGCCAACGATGAAAAAAATTTTGTTTAAAATAAAGACGGAAGCTATATTTAACAATCAAAGCATTGAAGGTGAAACACTTAGCCATAAATATTGTATATATAAATGTGACCATACAGGGAAACTTGCGAAGTCGTAATTAGTTAACTAAACATATTTATATTTATGTTTACAGTTATTGATTGAATCAGTATGTTTGACGTCGAATTATTGCTAAATAAATAACTATGTTCAACCGCAATATGTCACCCAACTAGAATTAATTGGACGGCGACCATAGTGGTCTTTATCAACAATGAATCACAGTGGCCAGTTACTCACAATTCTGAATATTCGCACTTTATGTATTTGTGCACCGCGTCACTGCATATACCGGCCACTTACCTACTCCAAACACCATTAAGCCCTTGATCTTTTAATATCCTTAGCAGGCAAAGGATAAATTATAATTGTTTAACATCAATGCCCATTGGAAAGGCCCAGAGGTCAGGCAATTGTTGTAAACCACATTCCGTATATCAACTGACTTGTTGGAAGTTGTAAACGCGATTTTACGCAACTCAGAATTGTTTAAACAGAAAACAAGGTCTGAACTTTGGCATTTATGACTGCAATGAAAGTTGATTTATACGTTTTACCTGATGAGCAAATAAATAAAAGTGGTGGTGCAATGATAGACGTGGACATGACAGTTGACGACACTGACAAAAAACATGTAGTTACTGGTAAAGATCGTGCAATCGTGAACAGTAATGCAATCGTGTATGCGCAAAAAACTTGTGGCCATCGCTTTACGACCTAGAAAGAGAATGTCAAGAGGAAGAGAGTAATAAATATGCAGCGGCAAGTACAAGCGTTCACTAAATATTAAAAGAATAAACATACAATAAAATTAACAAGAGAGTTGAGCATTATCGGCCGGCAGGATAATGGAGCGATAAAGTTCCGTATGAATGGCAGGAACCTTTGACTTTTTATTATTTTTTTATTTTTTTATTTTAAGTATTTGTATTACGTCCTCTTGTGCTAGTTAAAACAAGTGACCTATTGCCTTTCTTAGGACATCAAGCATGCCAGATATTTTGTATGAATGTGTGGGTTTTCGCACGACGTTTCACACCTCATTAATTTGGTAGTATGTAATTAAATATACATAATAGAGATTTGACAGTATTTCTACAAGTAAAATAATTTTTCGGAATAACATAACGACCATCCTTGTTACACAGGTTTTGTTACATTTTTTCCCAAATAACCCTGCAATTCCGAATCATACACGTACTAAAATATTTCTATCATAAGTCGAAACGATACGAAAACCTACTTTATTTTTAGAATCACACAAATTCCTTGCGATTCTACGTTTCGGAATGACTAACAATTCTATTTTGACTTCTGGAAATATTTAGTTCCTGTATAGCAATTTATTTAAAATACATGATTTTGATGAATGTATGTGGTCGACAAATTTGAACGTTTTCTTACTATTTATTTTAGTACCGTCTTAGTACTTACTTGTGCAGCTGTTTCCAATTTGTTCCTTCTATCTGCTAGAATGTTTGTGGTCCCCAATTCGTTGTCATCGATGCCTTTCTTCTTGTCGTCGACCGAATTTAGAGATTCCTGTAACAAACAGATTACCTTTGGTAAATATTTGACCATTCTCTTTACGTCGGGAATTATACTAGAGGTAGAACTATGATTAATGGTCATATTAATATCGTAATAATTATATGAACCACATTCTTCTCTTTGTCTAGATTAAAAGAATACGGGTATAATGTTTTGATGAAGATATTAGATTGATGGAGAGAAAAAAGTGCGAAAGGTTGCAATTATGGTGTCTTCCTTCTATTGTGAATCGAAAACTTCATTGTTACGTATATGGATAATTATGTGCATTTGATCTACATTCACGGACTGATAATTTATTGTCACGCCATCTTACATAATATAATCTAGCATGTCTTTGTAAACCATAACTCTAATTGCGAAACCTGCTAACAAGCCTGTATCTGCAATAAATTCTTTTGGTATGACTGTTCTACTGACTAAGGAATCACGTCTAAACATACGAAGATGATTACAATTTAGTAGCTATAAAACAATTAATATATCGCACGCAACCTAATCATTGAAATAATCAAGCGGATACAAACAGTAATAGAATTGATTCAATTTGGCAATCAAGTTGAATGTATCCGGCGATAAAACTAGTATTTTTTTTACCCAATAACAAAAAAAACCTGCCTGAACATTGTCCACGGCATCGACATCGAACTTCTTGAAAACGGGTTTAAGACCTCCATTGCTAGCGTTCTTCGTTTTATTTTTCAGTTCTCCGATGACCGAACCAAAGTTAAGACCCTGTGGAAACCCTGGCTGCTTTTGCAGACGCTTTAAAACTGGTTTACTTTCTTCTATTTTATTTTCAACAAGTTCATCTGCAGGTTGTTCAGCGTCTTGTACGTTATTGTTTCCGTTAATTCTTTTTATCCTATCTGCTATAGCTTCTATCACATTTTGTTGTTGCACAGCCTTGTCACTCAATGGATGATCCTCTTTCTTTGTAAGAGGTACAATATCTTCCGAAGTAGCATAAAGAAGTTTCTTCGGTTCCTCATGTATAAGTATTTCGGTTTTATCTAACGACAAGTTTTGTATTATTGACTGTATTTTATCATCGCTCAAAATAGTTTTCTCTAGAAATTCCGCAAGCTTTTCTTTTGGCGGACTCTCCCGTCTGACTGGGTTTTCACCGAGTAATTTTTCGTTTCGTTGTTTCAGTAATATACTCGGTGTTATTAGCTCTTCACTTTTGACAGATTTATTTTCTTGTTTGGATTCAACTTTGGGAATTTCAGGAATCTTACTTTTGGTTTCAATATTTTGCAGAGCAAGCTCTTCGGAACGATCTTTACTTGTAATATCATCAGATTGCGTTTCACTTATTGCTGATTGAATATTTTGTATCTTATCATATTGAACTTGTTCACATTTCGATGGTAGTAAGTATTTCCACAATAAGTAAATAAGGACACCAAGTCCAATGAGCGTTTCGAGTAACATTGCGATTTATTTTTAAAATCACTGACTAGAATGAGATCGATATACGTTATTGATAGCGGCACTAAAAATCCTTGAAGGCTTCTCGCTCCATTTGTAATGAGGAATCAATTGAGCAATGATGTTTCACACACTGTAGTAGCACATTGTTTATATTAGCATCGAGCAATGCATATCGTTCAATAACACTTGGTTAATTGTCACTGTTGTGTAGGAAATCACAAGAATAACAAAAAATATATAAACATTGTTAAACTACGTAAACAATGTGTTTGCTGCGACGGTCAGAATCGAACTGATCACTGAGATCAGTCGTCATTATCATCTGGCAGCGGACACGGCACGTGTGACTCATGCGCAGGTCCTAGAACGAGTGTAAACATTGTATACTAGTTGTATACTAGCTGTACAAGTAGCAGCAACAATGACGCATCACCAATAAAGAAAAATGTCTATAATGTAGGCTCGTGGTGGCCGGTACTACGGACTTGGCAGAATCCTTGACCCAAGACAACGCCACACCCAAATACAGAAACGATTTAACCTTATAATATCTTTAAGGAGACTGACAGATAACTGCTACTAGAAAACTAGCGACAACATACCACCTACATAATAAATGTAGTAGTCAAGAATACAACAATACAAATAAAACCACCTGTTTAATCAGAACAACTAGTAATAGAATTACAATGCAATGTTAAATATATGATGAATCGATTCTAGAGTTTGATTTACTAGGTGACCCAATAACTGACAGACAAAATAAAATTATGTTGTTTATAATTATAATACATTTTCATTGAAACCTATGACTGTATTGCATATTATAATTATCCAATAAGTAATATTTACTGCATAAAGCAGGAAAAATATCGAGTTTAAAACTGGGTTGCGACAAACAAGATTCCATCTAACAGCCTCAATGTACGCAATAACACTGTCGTCGCTCGGAGTTTGCACCAAATAAGTTAACTTGTCCAAACCTAATGTGGAAACGAGCAAAAACTGCGGACGCTAATTCATCGAAATTATTTAAATTAAGCCAACTTTGAGGATGGAAGCTACTAAATTCAAATACATGTGACAAACAGGAAGATGAAATAAACTGTATTTTACTCGTACGTTTAGTAGAATTGTAATGATACGTCAATTCTGTCAACGATGGCTTAATAAACGTCAATAAAGGCAATGGTGTGGGCAATATAGGACGAATCCATCACAATTATACTATCAACAAAACGACACACAAATATGCGGCCAAATTGACCGCTCAACTCGCATTGAATACAAATTACGTGAACATTGAGAATTTGAATGTTTACATGCCTTTAGCGTACACAAAGAATAATTAAAGTTTAACAGAAATAGAAACGTAGGTTTAAGGGGCGAAAGTGTCGGTATGAATAAAAATTTACATTACAAAGACTGCCTCCTGATTAACACTAGACGAAACTAGAAAACAATCTACATGATACTAAATACTACAAGAACGTAACGTTAACCTATAACAGCTTACAAGGTCGGTACCAAAGATAGCAAAGATAAGTCTGATAGCAAACGATAATGAAGAGCACGGTTTTCATGCAATCAATAACAAAATTCACCTCGAAAACAAATTACGTAAATTGGCATTAATTTTAATTAACAACACACTAACAGTAATAGAAACAATTCTTCGTACACCAAGCTCATTGAGATTTATATGCAATGAGATAAACTAATTGGAATTGATAAAATGAAGATGTTTCAATAAAAATAATAAATATAATCACACAAAACTGCACAACGATTTAAATCTGAAGGTTTAATTAAATCCCGACACATAATGTCCAAGGCACAGTTAAGAATATTTTGGCGCGTCTTATTGTACGCGATTTTCGAAGGCAAAACCCCGTGAAAGACTTTGACGGCAGCGCGCGCGCATTGGCCGACTTGTCCAAAACAACTGACGGTGCCAGTACGTCTCGCCAGCCGCCAGGCGATCGGGTCATTGTCGACGCATGTGCAACTCAAATACCGCTTTTTGGTACATGGAAATTAAGATTCGCTTTTTGTTTGCTCAACGAACCAGCAAGTTTCCCGGAAATTATTCGCAAGGCTTTTGAGAATGATATACGTATATGATTCAACCTCGAGTTTAACGACGCAGTTACTGAGACTCTTGAAACCTTTTTGCTGTTGTAGACCTAGTACCTATTGACAAATAAGTTAAAATGATACTAATCTAACGGATAGTTACCCAACTAGTACTGCACTTTCAAACGATATCTTCTTACATATGTGATTGTATACAAAGTAATACGATACAGTTGTCAAATATCGTGAGAAACAACAATTTTGGCTTGGAAAGTCAAGTATTATTATTTAAACAAAGCTTTGTATTCACACAATACTGTTTTATAACTTATTAAATGCGTATTCGTAACCACAGTAATTTTATTAGCATAATAAGTTGATGGTTTGAATATTTCTTCATACATTATCTATTAATTGTTTCTCTTTATTGGAGTTCCTCAGGGTTCTATCCTGGGCCATCCGCGATTATTTTTGTTATATGCATACACGTTCGCACATGGAACGTATTTATGCTTAAATTAGAATTAATTATCCCTTCACACACTTACAATTTACGATTTTCTGCTCTAAAAAGCAATCTTTGGTCCGACCGCCGTCATTGGGTTCATCATAACTTTGCAGTGGCCAAAATTTATAATTAGATTTAGCATCTAACGCCAAAACTTATGTGGAGCACTTTCATAACAGTTTCGTTGGCACTGTTTGACTAATGAGTGTAACACAAAACTATAAAGCGAACACTGACAGATGTTCTTTGGATGTTTCGTTAATTAAATTAATATTCAGATGAGTAACTAGTTTATAAATAATTGAAATCCTAGCTGATTGTATTCGAGGTTGCGGTTTAAATTTAAGAACAAATGTCAGTTTATTTTTTATGTAATTAATATGGAATAGTTTCTCCAATGTCTAAAGATAATATTTTCTATAAAACAAAGAGTTTGTTACAATTTTTTCTTCGGAATTTAGAATGCGAGTTCTAAACAATAATAACTCCATATTAAGTTCCTGTTACTGCTGGAATTCATAACATGTCTTATATGTATTTTTATCTGAAAACATAAAAGGTAATATGGGAGGCGCAGATGACTCAGATTGTACATATTAGGTTTGTCTTAGTGACGCCATTTATTTGAAATGTGGTGCAGTTTATTAAAATGTAGAGGACGTCTGTGTTGATGTACATGAGCGTTGATGGATGACAACTTGTTGTGCCAACAAAATACTTGTAGATAAAATCTAAGTAAGACAAATTCTACGCGGCACTAGAAAAGAGAGTTCAAGAAATTGTTAAGGATCTTCACGTATTTGCAGATATTTTGGTCAAATTCCAAATCAATGCTAATGATCTTTTAAAGTCTCTAGAAAAGACATTTTACAAAGACACATTGCTTTTTGAAATCTTTCCAGAGAACCAATCCACGTTTAAAGTACCAAATTACCAATTTAAATAAATAAATACTAGAATGCTAATCCCT